TGTTAGAGAGAATTAGTATCTCCAGACTTTGCAGGCACTGTATGTCATCTGGGAGCTTTGTCAGCTGATTTGTTCCAAGGTTCAGCTCGACCATTGCCACCCACGAACCGATATCCAGTGGTAAAGTGTTCAGCTTATTTTCCTTCATGTTCAGTTTTGTGAGGTTCTTAGATCGTGAGAAGATGCCGTAGGGTATCTTGTCGATCTCATTGTGCTCTACATTGATGGAATAAGCGTTGACAAATTGGCCTGGACCACCTGCAGGATACGAGGTAAACAAGTTTCTAGACAACGTGATTGTCGTAAGATATGACAGACTAGCCAGCAGTCCGTCTGGTAGATGTGATATTTGATTGCCCTCCACACTGAATTCATCCATCAACTTGCAGTTCGCCAATGATTTAGGAATACTTGTCAGTTTATTGTATCGGATTCCCAGTCTAGTCAACGACACCAGATTGCCGATCGTATCCGGCAAGTCGAGCAGTTCGTTGTGTTGCACATCCAGGGTGGACAATTGCACGCACTTGCCAATTTCTGGAGGTAGATGCTCCAAATGATTATGCGAGACATCAAAGGTAAGAAGATTAACCAAATCGCCTATCCCTGCAGGTAGTTCCTTGATCTTGTTCTCCCGAAAGCTCAGCATGGTGAGATTCGTCAGGTTACATATGTTGTTTTTGACATATTTGACACGGTTGAAGCGCAGGAACAACGTGGTGAGCGACGTGAGCTTGTACACTACGTCTGGAATCACAATGAGCTTGTTGTGTCTGAGATCTAGCACCCGCAGCGACTTGAGATTCTCCAGAGTGTTGGGCAAATTGGTGAGCGAGTTCTCGCTCAGCGCGAGCGTCTCCAAATTCGACAGGTAGCCGATCTCGGGTGGCAGAGTCGTCAGCTTGTTGCCATAGAGGTAGAACTCCCGCAGGTGCTTCAGTTCCTTCACGGAACTAGGTAAAGTCGTGATACAGGCCTTGCTCAGGTCCAACCGCCTCACGCAGTCTTCCCTACATCGGATAAACTCCTTACCCACGTCTAACTCCGCTTGGATCGGCTTAGTCTTCTTACCAGCGGGTTTCAGCTTGTTCGAGTCCGGATGTTTGATCATAACAATCTTCTTGGAGTCGACCAGACTGCTACTGCTGCTACTTCCAAAGGACGACATGGTAGAGAACTTTTTGTCATGCATCAGTTGAAGCTCCACGTCCTCGGATATCTCGTTGCTGGCCGTACAAGCCGATAATCCGCAGCCCTCTAGGTACTCAGGTATATCCTGCTCCTTCATGTCGAGGTTCAAAAGACTGTCGTCCCCGAGACTTGTCGCGCGATTACGATTCGTCTTCGGCAGACACACCGTCGATATGTTACTCACGCTTGTACAGTGTTTGCACGATTTTTTCATAACCTACAATCTTTCTTCCCTTACCGCGCGTCCGCCGCCAAATGACGCGACGCGACGAGGGTACGACGGTGATGTATACACAAGCACGTATGAAATAGCACTACGCAGGTGAAAGAGGTTCGCACGCACGCATATACGTATACGCACGCACGCACGTCAATTCCCCCTCCAATCAAAGATATCTCGAGGTTGACTTGAGGTTGCTTGAGGTGACTCGAGATCCTGAAAATGTGACGTGCCGCTCTTCACTGCGACTCGCACGCGATCAAAGTGATCAGACACGTCTACGTAAATTGTAAAAGATTAATGCTTGACCATAAGACTAGGAAATATCGACATTATCGATGTAGGCAGGTGTAGAATGACCTTTGCGTTTCGTACGGCTCCGTATTCGACGGATTCGACCGAATAATCACCTATACAACGCAAGCGCGAGCATACTAACTAACCGCACAAGTATACGTCACTATACATATTATGCATACAGCATATATGTGTATACATATATACGCGGCTTCTATGAATGTATCAATCATTGGGCGCATCAGCGAATTCAACAGTTAAGTGAATGTTCATTGCGGTGTAGTCTTTTAGATCTAAACGTCTCATTGGATGATGTAGAAGAATATATCAATAACGTTCACTAAATTGTTGAGTTCGTTTAACGTAGCCAATACAGGC